GTGAAAAGTTTCAACTAAATATTATCAAGAGTGCATATGAAGTGTCTTGATTTTCCTTTACAGTTTATGGTTTTCAACATGCCATGCATGCTGTCCAGACTTGACAAGTCATTGGGAAGCAACTACAAAGAAATCCGTCACAACGAGAACATGTTCAAACCATTTGATTTTGTGACCAAAGGTGCTGGTGTAATGACTTGTAATTGTGACAGCCCTGACACTTTGATTGATATAAGTACTTGCTTTTGATGCATATATTATCTGTTTTGATTAAGAGACTTGCTTTTGAAGCATTGACTAGTTATTTTGAACAACTGACTTTTCTTTTTGATGAAGTAACTCACTTTTGCAAGTTATCCACCATGTTTTGCAGTTTGCACTAACAGTTTTGAGAAGAGCCTTAGTAGTGGAGCAGAGATCAATTCTGTTGTGAGAAATGCACCAAAGCAACTGAGAGAAACTGTAATTATATGTTTAAGATTAATGTAAAATAATTTAAATTCTATTTAGAGGTGGCTCATATTCTATCGTCCACAAGTTTTTCTTTTCAAACACTTTGCAACAATTTTCACAACACTGATGTCTTATTTTACAACTCTAGACACAAAACTGATAACAGTCATCACTTGTAACACAGGCTGTCCATTGTGCATTCACATGTTTAAAGAAATCTTGCACTTGCACAAACATTGGTTCAAAAAACTAATTTACTGTGAAATACCATTGAAACCCAACTCTAGATCACCCACACACACGTAACCCATAGTTTAAATAAGTCATGGTTTGAACAATAATTTAATATTGTACAACAAAATAGGTGATACGAGTTTCATAATTCAAAGATTCCGAGTTTTTACTGCCATATGCAAAGTGAAAGTAGAAAATTTTTATCTGCACAATAAAATTCTAACTTTGCTGCCAACACTAGATGCCAAACTAATAAAAGTAGAAACAAAAAGATCCAAACAAATGTACAAGCTTACAACTCTACCTTGCAGAACAACATCACATACAGGTGCTGGCCAGTAAATTAGAATATCATCAAAAGGTTGAAAATATTTCAGTAATTCCATTCAAAACGTGAAACTTGTACATTATATTCATGCAATGCACACAGACCAATGTATTTCCAATGTTCATTACATTTAAATTTGATATTCATAAGTGACAACTAATGAAAACTCCAAATTTGGTATCTCAAAAAATTAGAATATTCTGAAAAGGCTGAATATAGAAGACACCTGCTGCCACTCTAATCAGCTGATTTACTCAAAACACCTGCAAAGGCCTTTAAAAGGTCCCTCAGTCTTGTTTTGAAGGCACCACAATCATGGGGAAGACTTCTGACTTAACAGCTGTCCAAAAGACAATCATTGACACCTTGCACAAGGAGGGCAAGACACAAAAGGTGATTGCTAAAGAAGCTGGCTGTTCACAGAGCTCTGTGTCCAAGCACATTAACAGACAGGCGAAGGGACGGAAAAAATGTGGTAGAAAAAAGTGTACAAGCTCTAGGGATAACCGCACCCTGCAGAGAATTGTGACGACAAACCCATTCAAAAATGTGGGGGAGATCCACAAAGAGTGGACTGCAGCTGGAGTCAGCGCTTCAAGAACCACCACGAGGAGACTCATGAAAGACATGGGATTCAGGTGTCGCATTCCGTGTGTCAAGCCACTCTTGAACATGAAACAGCGCAAGAAGCGTCTCGCCTGGGCCAAGGACAAAAAGGACTGGACTGATGCTGAGTGGTCCAAAGTTATGTTTTCTGATGAAAGCAAGTTCTGCATTTCCTTTGGAAATCAAGGACCCAGAGTCTGGAGGAAGAGCGGAGAAGCACAGAATCCACGTTGCATGAGGTCCAGTGTAAAGTTTCCACCGTCAGTGATGGTGTGGGGTGCCATGTCATCTGCCGGTGTTGGCCCACTCTGTTTCCTGAGGTCCAGGGTCAATGCAGCCGTCTACCAGGAAGTTTTAGAGCACTTCATGCTTCCTGCTGCTGACCAACTTTATGGGGATGCAGACTTCACCTTTCAACAGGACTTGGCACCTGCACACAGTGCCAAAACCACCAGCACCTGGTTCAAGGACCATGGTATCCCTGTCCTTGATTGGCCAGCAAACTCGCCTGACCTTAACCCCATAGAAAATCTATGGGGTATTGTGAAGCGGAGGATGCAATACGCTAGACCCAACAATGCAGAGGAGCTGAAGACGACTATCAGAGCAACCTGGGCTCTCATAACACCTGAGCAGTGCCACAGACTGATCGAGTCCATGCCACGCCGCATTACTGCAGTTATTGAGGCAAAAGGAGCCCCGACTAAGTATTGAGTGCTATACATGCACATTCTTTTCATGTTCATTCTTTTCAGTTGGCCAACATTAGAGAAACAAACATTTTTTCAGTGGCCTTTAGAATATTCTAATTTTCTGAGATACCAGATTTGATGTTTTCATTGGTTGTCACCTATAAATATCAAAATTAAACGTAATAAACATCGGAAATACATTGGTCTGTGTGCATTGCATGAATATAATGTACAAGTTTCACGTTTTGAATGGAATTACTGAAATATTTTCAACCTTTTGATGATATTCTAATTTACTGGCCAGCACCTGTACAGTAGTAGAGAGAATACTACAGAGAGAGTGGAATCAGTAAACGAATTCTGAAATATATTGATCCAAAACACCACAGTGCAATCATAGTGTAACATAGGTTCATTTGAATCAAAGCTAAAATACAGTCATTAATTGTAAAAACAAAAACAAAAGATGTGTTTCTCAGCTTTCTATCTTGTACTGTAATACTGTAAACAAAACAGTGATTACTCTACTTCTATGCTCGTCAACTCTGTGTTGTGGATTTGGCCACAGGTTCTCGACCACCTCTCAGAAGGGGGGCCTGTACTGTGCCATTCCTTTGAACGTCTTCCTCTTCTTTCTCCTCCCACCACTGCTTGACCTCTTGCTGACTCCATGTCACCTCTTTCATTCCACAATGTGCATCCAATCATCACTGATGAGTTGGCAGAATTGGACAGCAAATTACAAATTAACCTAGTGTTTAATTGTTTGTCTTTATCAATACAGCACTGAGAGTAGTGCAACAGTTACTTATCATTATGAGCAGTTGTATCAATTGATAGATAATTGAAAGGAAAGAAATAGGCACTCATTTGAAATGTAATGTGTAAACTGCGTTATGAAATAGTACAATTTGATGTTAAGTTGTGTCAAATTGAACCGGTGGTTGTTGTTACATGAACAAATGATCTAAGTTTTATGTGTGTGGCATCCAAGCAATTGAGAAACAGGGGAGAGTTTTGAAAAAATGTGCATTTTGATCATTGGTTGTGAGTTTTGTGTCTGGACTCGTGAAAAAAAAGCACCAATGTTGTGAAAATTGTTGCACAGTCATTGAAAAAAACTCCAATATCAGTAATTATTTCTTGTCCAAAGAAAAATCTATCATGTTGAGCTAAATTCATGTTGCATCAAGTCAGGATTACACTCTCTATGACCCTCTCTATTTGTGCCTCACTGCTCTCCGTAGTCATTTCCTGACTACGCGGGGGAGGGTTTGGCATAAACAAAGCTCCAGTCGGCAGCCACAGAGAAAAGGCTCGCTAAAACACAAACAAACATGCCCAAAGAAAAGCCGCAAAGCTAGATGCTAAGTTTAGAGCTGAACATTGACGCAAAGGTTCCCTGATTGAGCAGAAGCATGAGAATACAGGTAACGACGACTTAGAGATGGAGCAAGCTAGTGGATAATGCTAGCAGCAATATAATTGGGTATAGTGTGCTTCTTCAGTGATTCACAATTGTTTATGTCCGCATCTTAATGCATCGATTTTTAGATTATTTTCCTCAGCTCTACCGAAACCCCCCGCTAAACAAACCAACACGATGCCTAAACTTTCTCTGATTGGTTCATCTGTGCATCTGTTTTTTGACAAAGCAGACTAGCAAATAGCGTCCAGACATAATGGCACTGTTCTACAATCTCTGAGCTTTGGTAGATCGTCATCACTTTATAATCCTTAATGATCTTATATCGTCAGATCGCTCGGCCCTACATCATAAACACAAGACACCCAAACAGAAGCTCAGTGGGGTTGTTTATGCAGTCTAATGTAGCGAGGACTGTCCAGACCTCTACATAGGGGAAACTAAACAACTACACACAGAAGAGAAGCCTCTTCAGGTCAAGACTCTGCAGTCCACCTTCACCTGAAGGACAAGGGACACACTTTTGAAGATGACAAAGTACACAATCTGGACAGAGAAGATAAATGGTTTGAGAGAGGACTAAAGGAAACTACCTGTCAAATGGGAAAATCCTACATTAAAAAGAGGAGGAGGCCTCAGGTTTCACCATTCCAGCACCTATAAAGTAGCTCTGAACCTATTTCCCAAACAGTTGCACACACCCTCCTGCGCCTAATCAATACAATGATTTTCACACAACAGAGGCTATGACTCCTCAGGAGGTAGGGAGGAGGGGTATTCATAGGTAGTTTCTGCTTGTTAAACAACAATAGACAGCTACAGTTTATATGCTTCATCCTCCCATATTCCAGTCAGAATTGATAAAGCTCCTCAGATGAAAAACCTCTGAAGTCCAGTTGCTTTCATTCAAACCCCATTTGGATTAAAAGGGATGGTCAATCAGACTGTTTTATCTGATACATCTGCCTCTTTTTGCTTTTTTTTTTGAGCAGCAATGCAGAAAATTGTTTGGTATTGTCAATTTCTTCTCCTGAGATTCAAATCCCACCAAGCCTCTGCAGGTTGTAAATATTTTACTCTAAATGTGTCTCTAAAACAGTACTAAGAACCAGATGTTTTTTGTTCTGCACTAATACAGTTGTGTTTTCCATCATCTGCATACGTGATTAATTATTTAAATGTTCCTTGGATGGGAATTGTAAAATACACAGAGCATAAAACTTACTTTGTACCTGCAAAGCTTTAGTATTTTTATTTTTACCTTGCAGCTCTTGGAAACTCTCCTGATGTTTGTTGGATGTCTCTCTGACTTCATCCAGCTCAAGCAGCAGCTGCAGCATCTGAGATCTCAGCTCTTCCAGCTCCTGCTCTTCTGTCAGCTCCTCCTTCCTGTTCTTCTCCAGTCCTTCACCTTCCTCATCCTTCAGCTTCTTTTCCTCCCCCTCATCCTCCAGAGATCTTTCCTGGTCCATTTCCTCCTTCTCGTTGTTCTCCCCCAGGATGCCTCTCTCCTTGGCTGTTATCTCGTTATCGGTGGGGCTGCTGTCAGCTTTCAGATCATTGGGGTCATCTGATGGAAAGATGACACAGATGTTAAGCATGGGGGGGGGGGGGGTCTTACTGATCCCAAAGAATAGACTTAAACACTGTTTTTTAATCAATAGCACCACCTTGTGATTCAAGTGGTACAAATTATGTTGTACTCTGATCCTTTCTTCACTCATGCAGCTTAAAATATACCAGAACACAATATCCACAACCAACAATCTAGTTATATTCTTGTTAATCCATCTGTTAGAGGAAAATTACACATCTCGTCTTTTTATTAATACTGTTTATGGAATTGATGTTTTAAAAAATGTTTCTTCGTGCTTTTGAGTAAAGTGGTTGTACCCACAAGCCACATCCAGCATTTACAGTTCCATGAGCTGCACGGTGAAGGTAGCTACTTGACCAGCAGGTGGAGTGAGTCAGCTGAAACAATGCAGCACAAAAAGGAAAGGAAAGGAAGGGGGAGGAGAGCTGGTATATGATGAAGCAATCCTATATGACTCACCACTCAGGAATGCTCCTGACAGTCCATAACAACACCAGCTAGCCTTCATAGTAACACAGATATGACACACACATCTCCCACGGTGCACCATGTCACGTTACACGTCCGTCTGAGGTTTTCCTCCTTGTTTCTTTCAGACAGAGACAGATCAGGAGCAGATGTTTGTGTGTCTGGGTTTGTAAAACCAAACGTGACTCTAGAGAGGATATAGGGCATTGCAAATATATTAATAATTCAGATGTTAGAAAAGCTAAAGATGCAGAGAACTGTGCGAGTTCGAGGCTGGAAAACAGACGTTTAATGTTCCCATCCTCAGTCCTTTCCCATTAGGTGGTGAAAAAGCTGCTTCACGAGGATGGTTCAGTTCTCAGAGAGCCATTTTAACTCCCACTCTAATTTCAGCCTCTTCCCTGGAAATTCTGTTTACACAAAAACAGCATCCTGTGATGATTTCACTTTCACTCCTCAGATATAAATGAACATGTAGCTTTGCATGTCTGTGATTTGTCCATCTCCAGGTGGCTCAGAACGTTGGTTACGTATTGTAACCCCAGATTCTATGAGTCTAGTCGCAGCCCTTAAGCTAGCTGCTATTGGAACGATGATCTCAGCATCAGCCAATCATGAAGAGCTTAAATGTACGCCCACCAATGGTGGGCACTCCTGTGGGTATATAAGTGGAGCGACTCCACTGTTCGCCTCCAATGGCTCTTAGTCCTAACGAACCAGTGGGGCCATTGGCTTAAGGGCTGCCACTAGACTCATAGAATCTGGGGTTACAATACGTAACCAACGTTCTATTTCGTCTAGTCTTAGCCCTTAAGCTAGCTGCTATTGGAATAATGCGCAGCTGGATGGGTTTACGCCAGGGGTGCCAAATATGCAGCCCACGGGCTGGATCCGGCCCGCGGGGTGTCAAATATGCAGCCCGCGGGCTGGATCCGGCCCGCAAGCGGGTTAAATCCGGCCCGCGAGATGGTTGTGTAAACTTTATTTTCATACTTTACAATGTAGAGTGAAAAATAAACGTATCTTAGTGAGCAAGTTTTCTCTGTAATGAGTATAAATAAAACAAAGCTGCGCTCAAGGCTCACACAAGAACTTGAGTCACATCCTGAAGTTGGCTGCCACTCAGGATGTGACTTCTGATATTGATGTGCTGGTGAAAGCTAAAAGATGTAAAGTAAAATGAGTCAAATATACTTTAAGTGCTGCATGAAACTGCTCTTGCCATGTGATCTGTAAGCTCTTTGAATCACTAAGGAATGTTTTTTTTATTTGTTGATTTTTTTTTTTTTCGAATTTTCAAGTACACTTCAGGTGTTGTACTTGTACTACACTGTCCTCAGGCTCCAGCCTTGTTTTATATTGATTGTATTAAAACAAAGAAAACAATCTGAAGTTTTTTTTTAATTTACCGGTCCGGCCCACTTGGGTCTAGATTTCCCTCAATGTGGTCCCTGAGCTAAAATGAGTTTGACACCCCTGGTTTACGCCACACTGGTTAGCTCAACCAATGGACACACCCAACATGTCTCCTTTTAGCGAGGGTCGCTCAGCCTCAGCCCAGGACTTAAAAGGCTGAGGCAGCCAGAGAGAAGAGTGGGGCCCCCACTAAAAATATCATCCACAAGAGGATGAAATTCATTCAAGTAAGGCTGATGTGGTGCCATAATGCTTTCACTCAGCCTGCTGAGGTCCAAGCACTGAACGAGTGATGGATCCTGAAGACACATCTCGTAAATAATGAGTAAAGGAACAGGGTGAAGCCCATGAAGCAGCCTGACAAATGTTTTCCATTGACACACCACTGTGGAGCGCCATAGAAGAGGAAATCCCTCTGGCTGAGTGAGCCCTGAGTGTCTCAGGAGGATCCCGCCCTGATGATTTGTAAGCCAAGGCCGGATTAACCATATGGGCAACTGGGCAATTGCCCAGGGCCCACAAACTCTAAAGGGCCCAGGGCAGCAAAGGCACGAGCAAAATACTGTATCTGTAATTTCCCGCTTTATGAGGACTAGGGTGGCCATACGTCCCGTTTTCCCCAGACATGTCCACTTTTTTCTCTGTCCAGGGCTTGTATTGATGAAAATGTCTGGCTTTTCATCCAGGAGCAGGGATCGAATTATGGGGGAGCTGTATATCCTACGCATCCAGGGGAGCCGGAAAAAAGTTTTCTACCTATTTTACATCATTTATGGACTCTTTTGAGCAGAGAGCGGCACAGCGCGTTGTTGCGCAGCGCTCCAGGCAGCTGCTTCCATCGCACGGTCCATTCTCAAAGTGGTGCAACCAAAAAACTATAATTAGCACACGAGCGTTCATGTCCGCACATGTTCTCTATTTTCTGTCTTGTTTGCGCCTGAAGCGCTCTGCTACTGCGGAGCTCATCACCTGTGCTGTGGTGATTTCACCTCACTGACCCAGCATCGAAACGCACAGATCCCTTTGATCTGCTCAGAAGTAACTGATGAGGTGAAAAAGTAAGAATCCAGGCAGCAGTCTTTCTGGAGAGTTTAGAGGAGATGCAGGAAGATGAGAGACAGACAGGACAGGAAAATAGTTAAATAAAAACAAGAAAACAAAACAAAAAGTAAAATGTAGGTAGATTCATCTCCACTACACATTTTTACCTGTATAAAACAATAAGTTATACACAATATTTATACATCTGATACAATTCAGATCACTTTCAAAACTCAGTCACACACCCAGGGCCGTTTCAAGACATTTTGGGGGCCAAGGCAAAAATGACAACCCCCCACCCCCACCCACCCATAACTGGACACCCCAGAAGCCTCTGTGTAATTCATACCCTGTCCAGGAGTGTTAGTTATACAGTGTTTGTAAAAGCCCCTCAGACATTACTGACATGTTCTAATATTATCAGATGAAAAACTAAATTATCAGACATGCTGTCTCATCTGCTTCTTTTCTAAACTTGCAAAAAGTAACAAAACCATTTCAAAGTCACTATTTGTGGATTCTCTGAAAGTTTCCATGGAGTGTGTGACAAGCTGAAACAAGCATCCTTAATAATCTGTGCACAGGAAGCTTACTGATGCTGTAGTAAAACAAAAGGTAGAATAATTTATTATTAATAAATAGAGGTGGGAAAAATGATCGATTCTAAGATGCATTGCCATTCAGCCGTGCACGATTCCCCATCGATGCAGCAACGTGACATAATGAGATTCTCTCCCTATGTCTATGTCGGGGGTCGGCAACCGCGGCTCTGGAGACGCATGCGGCTCTTCCATCCATCTGATGCGGCTCTCTGTGCTTGTAAAATAATGAATGGATATTTAAATAAAATGCTTTATATTTTACTGCATTAATTTTGCATCTGTATGCCAATTCTAAATGTAAAGATTGTCTGCGGAAACCTGAACAGGTCCAGCCCGGTCTTACTGTGAGACCGGGTTGACGCGTCACGCTTGTGCGTAATCATATGCGCTTCCTGAGCTGACGAGGATGTGAGATTCTGGGATTCTCCTCAGCTCCTGGATGTGTCGCCACATTGGAGACAGAAACAAGCACTATTCAGCCAAAGTTTCATAATCAGGGAGCATTTTCTAAGTGACAAGTCTCGCTTCAGTCGGAGGAATCGTCCTGCATGCGCCCTGGTTCTGCGACGTGCTCCAAGCCCCTCTCCACATCTTCAGCTCACTGTGCGCCGTACGTACGCGCTGACAGCGAGCTGCGCTGAGCTCCGTGTCCAGCTTAGATGGGAATCTTTTCTTGAGTGATTTAGCTACATCTGCGCGAAACGAATAAAATGTCAGTTCGTCTGCATGCGTCGGGGTAATTCTTTCTGTTCTTTCTCCGTCAAAATAAATGGTCAAATTTGGGAACTATCCGGTCAACACAACACAAGCCCTGCTTTTAAATGTTTTGTTTTCTTGTGAAAATAGTTAAATTTAACTTGATTAACACCAGAGCCAGGAGCACTGCACCGTTGTCTCCGTCACTGTAAATGAGGGGAAAACAAAATGATCGGATCCTTTTCTGACCTCCCCCACCTACAAAGTTTAATTACAACAATCAAACGTGACAGAGCCTGGATTTGTATTCTGAACAGTCTAAACATGTTTTAAAAAGAAACGTATGACAAAAGTGGCATCTGCTCAGTAAAACCACTAACAGGGTGAAAAATGTCAAAATATTGTAGGCAGAGACAGGCTTCAACTTCTGGATCCATTTTATATAAATCGTTTTATTGATTATCGTCTTATGAAAGATAACGTTGACGTACACGAGCGACCGACCGGTACCGGCTGCTGTCTGAGGGTAGGCCCCGCCCACAATGCCGCGGCTGCTGCAGTGTTTTCTTTACTGTGGGAAACGGGTAATAATGGCTCTTTGATGGGAACAGGTTGCCGACCCCTGGTCTATGCGAGGACAACAAAATTTTGAGGTATTACTTCTGGGGGCAGAGTTGCAATGACATGCGCACTGCGTTGTCCTAGAAGCAATTGGACAGGGATACAGGGCCAACATCACCAGTAATCAAA